AAAACCAATGAGAAACAATCGGAAACTACAAAATTACCCGGCCCCAGTGTCGGAGATGATAGTGCCTTCACTGATTAGAAAGCCACCGGCGGTTGACCTTTGAGCGTAGTACTCGGCCAGTGCCGGCTGCGGCACTCCGTTCAACGCCCGGCACCTCGTCATCGGCGCCAGCACCACCCTGCCAAAAAGGACGAATCCGTCAAAACACCCCCAAACTAAAAAACCAAATGACAAATATACGCTCCCGGATTTCGGAAGAAATCGGAACCCGCCAAATTCGACCAACTGCGAACTGTCCTAAGAAGGGAGCACCAAACTTGATGCATCAGCGAAGTATTGTATCATCAAAAGGGGAAGGACTGACCTGTGAGAGAGATTGAACTTCCCCATCTTGTACGGAGAAAAGAGAGTGGTGTGCCCTCCCTGCGACGTAGCGTCCGCCATTTTTGCCGATCTCAGATCGCGGGGTTGAAATCTAAGGACGAGCAATGAAGTCAATACAAAGTAGAAGAAAAGGAGGGAGCTTTATAAGCTGGGGCTGCCTGTGATCCGACGGCAGTAGACTCGCGGATCCTGAAGCGCTGCCGTTGGGATGATGATGGTGGACTTTCTGGTTGCTGATGCTGCTCCTCGTTAGTGGGTTTTAATTGTGGTGGTGGACGGTCATCGTTGGCGGGACCCACGACGGAGAGAATCATTGGGCATTTCCAAATGGCAATGAAATTCACGTGGGAATTAATGTATTTCCCATGCCGTTAGTTTCCGAACTTGGAATGTTACTTGCCACAGGATCCGACTCTAAAATCTGTTAATCGTGTTCGTTCATCGTACATGCGATTAATTTTTATCATGTACTATTTATATTTATTTTTAAATCAAAATATTTAAAATAAATTTTAATCGCACGATACACGATAAACGAACATAATTCACGAATTTTTTAAATCTTACAAAAAAAAGATACGGCGAGTATCCGAACTCTGTTACTTAAGACGTGTTTGACCGTCGAGTTGACTGGACTCTGTTTTCTGTTTGTGATGACGATGTTGTGGTCGGAAATGGGCTGGATTTTGATTTGGGTTTGTAATGTGATTGAATTAGGCCCAATTTGTCGATTTGGTTCAATTTTGATCTATAAAAATTGAATTGAAAATCCATGTTTCAATAGATTAGAGCTGATCATATACTCATGACACGAATAAGGACTTATATAATACATGTACATCATTATTATGACATTTTGTATTAATAATGCAACTATATATGAAAGTTTCTTTAAATGCGTTGTATCACTGACACAAAATATTACGTTGACAGTTAATTCATATCATATAAGTTGTTCATCCAAAAAACAGACATAATGCACTAGTCGCTAGCACCAATAAAGGAATGATATTCATCTTTTCCAATCCTAAAACCAAACCATGCTCTACTCTATTTACTTCATCTTTACATGTTAAGTGTTGTTAGCTATGGGATGGAAGATAAGGTATTAAACATTTGAGATTTAATTGATGCATTGCGGTCCAAGTCTTTAGAACGATAGGCCGTGTAAGCAATGACTTTTTTCATCAATACTCAACAAAATATCCTTATCATCATGTAATATAAGAGTAATACAACATTGGTATTTTATCCAATTCATCCATTCATTATGAGAGATTTTTCAGTGTGTCAAACACACGTCTCGGTACATCAAGTTATCAACGGTTATAACACAAGAGGCTGGAAACTTGAAAGAAAAAAAATCAACTACTTGTGTTATAATACTTAATGTATTAGACCGTGTTTTTAACACACTAAAAAATTTCTCATCAACTAGATACTTCCAATTGTTGCATTGACAAAAGATTTGAGACTCGTTTGGTTTGATTTGTGCCACCAATGGCAATGAAAAGTCATAAAAATACACCCACAACTCTTTCATCGATCTATACACATACATGTTCAATATTCATAAATACATACATAAAAAAATCCTTACATATTGAATTGAAATCTATATAGATCTAAGTGGGAGATTGCTATGGTAGTTAGGGTTTTTATCCTCAAATTACTGTATTTCTGGTTTAGATCTTTTCCCCTTCCCTTCGGTATAGATTGTGTAGAATATTGTTTGTATGTATCAAAACAATTCTTGTACATATTGAATTGAAGATCTATACAAATTCAATTGGAAATCAATGTTAATTAAGATGGGGATCCAAGACTTGCACAAAAACATGATATGAAGATATTATTGAAAATGTCCATGATTATGCATTTACCATTTGTGAAAGGGAAATGAAAAGAAAGGCCAAATCTTTAGGATTTTTGGCTAATGAAGAAATATCCTTTTCATAATTCAACCATTCCTTACTATTAAGAGCTATAATTTATCGTGGTGGTTTGAGTTTGTCTTGTATACTTCAAACAATCTTATGCCAAAAGTTTTTATGCCAATCTACGTAGAATTAATATATTGGTTGAAGCTTTTTATTTCTTTCAAATTTAATTGCATGTCATTTCACTTAAGATTTGACATATCCTTTGGAGATACTATAAGAGTTTTCCCACCTTTTAGCTAACCTATTCTTATTAATCTACTCTTTAACGCACATACCGACGTTACCCATCGATTCTATATGTCATTCTTTGGTTGCATTGCACAGAAACAAGATGTTTGACATGTCAGAGATCCTAATTCATTAAACCACCATTTCAAAATCAAAATACTTTATCACATTACGAAGAAATCGAACTCTTAACACGTCGTAAAACTAACATCACTCATCTATATTCCTCAAATGCACAAACCCTAATAATTTGCCTTTTTTTTTGCACACCTTTTGTTTTCTCCACTTCTTTGCTAGGGTTTGGTAGGTACAATTATATGATGTTTAAAAGCTTAGAACAGATAAAATTCATAATTCCCCACCCCACAGTGTCACGCTAGCAATGATGTAGTCATGTTGGTCATCCAGTTTGAACTTCGACCTAAGCTTATAACTGACGTGGCATGTGATCCGCATCCCCTACAACATGAGTAGCAAGGGGACAATTTTGTCGCCCTAATCATGCCTAAACATCCATGCTCAATTTATGTTTTTTTATAAGTTAGAAAAATAAATTTAAAATAAAAATAACCGACAAAATATTAAGAAGAAAATGAGTAAGAAAACCCATTGCGCCACGTGTCCTCCACATCCCTGTAAACGGTGTAAGCATTTACACCTAACCAACCCCCTAAAATGTCTACCGAGGAAATGCGCGGTCCGCGCCGTGTGTACCAGACAGAGAGAGCAACGCCGCTGGTAAAGAAAAAAAGATAATATTTTTTAAATGGGAAAGTATTAAATAATTAGGGAACAGTAGAAAGAAAAAATAAATAAATAGAGGAAGGTGGGTTAATGTGATGCAAGAACTTTTTTTTCTTTTTTAAAATTTTTTAATCAAGTGATAAATTTTGTTAATTTTTTTTATTAAAATAAAAAATTAATCACTTTGCTAAATTAAACAATTGAACTCACTTGTCACTCAATACTATAATATAGTACTGTTATACTATCTACTTGTAAGTTAGAGGCAGAGTTTAAAATTTCTTTGATACAATTGATATTTTCATACAAATATTCAAAAAATTGGAGAAAGATAAGGAAATGGAGGGTGAAGTCTAAACTTCACCTCATATCGGAAATTTTTTTAAGTCTATGCTAAAATTGACATGTACCGTCGATATTTATGACATATCTGTTAAATATTGAAGAAACTCTTATATTTTGTTCAAACCAATGTTTGACAATTCTTAAAGTTTCATTTTAAAATTTCTATCATTTCTATCAAAAGCAACCGATATTGATATTTGATATATCCGTTGATATTTCTATAAATTTACATACATATATTTAAATACTGGTGAGGGATAAGTTCAAAACTCGAGAATAATAATTTTGATACTAACATAGTTGTATAAAAATAAATTCACATGTAAGATTGTAAACTGCAAGTAGTTTTTCTCTCAACTCATAAGTGAAACGTTTAAATAAATAAGAGAAGAATAAGGCAATAGTCCCTAAATTTTAACTAAATGGTAGCTTGAATCCTTGAACTATAATTCCATTAAATTTAGTCCTTGAATTTGATTGAATGTGGATTACTGGTCCTTTTATGTTACCTCCGTTAGATCTTAGGTTAGTTTGTTGACGTGATTAACGTGGCTTCACATTTTGTTTTCTTGTATTTGCCATGTGGCTATAAAAAATTATGAAAAGAAAATAAAATACAGAAATGAGATTTCCATCACTCCCTCCCCAACCCGTCTCTAAAACAAGTTAAATACTAATTATTAGGCTTTTTAGTTAAAATAGTTTATGAGATTAGCATAAATCTTTACTTGAATCCATGAAATTTAAAATTGATAGAACTCGTTTTTGAGTTTGTCCATCATAAATTATTTTGGTCATTCCGTAAAAAAAACATTCGTTAAATAAGGACAAAATGACAAAAAAAATTCCTTAATTTTTATCAAATATTTGGGCCCATTTGTTTATTAAATTAAGGGTATTTTTGTTATTTTGATCTTTATTTAATAGAGATTTTTCACGGAATGATTAAAATGATGGGTGATTGAGGACTTCTATTGATTTCAAATATCGATGACCAAAATGAGAAATTATGTTAATCTAAAAACCATTGGACTAAAATGCCTTATTATTATCGTCTAACCGTGTCTAAAACAAGTTCTATTACTTAAGAGCACAATTGAGTATCGCTCATGTACAGGAGTTACTAAAGTTTATAACATGTTTGTGTCGTAGTATTTAATTTAATAACGACACGTGACAATGTTGAGAGGACTGACATAGGATGGCCATGCACTCGTTACCGAATCCGGAACAACAGAGAGAGTTACACACGGTTACGCGCACAAACACGAACCAAACGAACAAGAAAAAAAATTATAAGCGGCCGACTGCCGTTACTGACCGTCCCTCCTTTTTCCTCCTCCATTTTTCGACGCACACGACGCGAGGCCTCCTCTCTCTCTCTCTCTCTCTCTCTCTCTCTCTCTCTCTCTTCGTAATTTCTGTTTATTTTGATCCGAAAATGCCATTAGAACTAATTAATTAATCAAATTAATTAAGCTTAAAGACGATTATTAGTTTAACACCTTCCTCCTCGTCCTCTCCTCCATCATTTCGTTCGAGGAGAAGAACAAGAAGCAGCAGAAAAAGAGGAAAGCTTTGTTTCGGCCGCCGGAGATTCCTCCCCCTGAAATTCTTATATTCCTTTTCGAATTTCAAGAGAATTCAGAGGTCAGTTCATAATTTTTTTTGGATTAATTTGTCGCGCATATTCTAAAGTTTCCATCTTTTGTGATTATAATTTCCAATTATCTATTTTTCGTTAAGTACTGATGATTATTGGTGCTTTATGCTCGAATTTCATGGTTTTTTTGCTGAAAATCTTCCAATTTTATTTAGCTGGGAAATTCATGTTTACCAAAAATATGTGAACTTTATTATTCTCTCTCTCTCTCTCTCGTGTAACTGAAAGGGCTTGGCAGCAGAAAGTTAACTGATCGACTTTTAAGACGGAGGAATAACGTTATAGCATAATTATCTACTTTTAATTCGATTTAGGAACTTCTTTCCGGCTGAAGAATTAAGTTTTTTTTTAATTGTTTAATTTATTGTTAATTTTGGAGATTAATCAACCGGAAAGGTTGAAGTGAACATCAAAGGTTAAAACTTTAAGTAGTGACACAACGAAACTGATGCTTCAGAGATTTTTGGCTCGGAGACGATCGAATTAGGAAATATCTGTTATTTGTATGCCTCTGTAAGTTCGAAGTTTCGGGGTTTAAGGAGTGAATTGTTGTCAATGTCGAATTTTTTGATAGGAAGAAAGCCTTTTAGTATGAATAAAGATGAAGAGACGGGTAGCCCCAGTTGGGGTGCTTCGTTTTTCGCACAAACGGAAGATGTTGCAAGAGCAGTTGCTGCTGTAGCGGCTGCTGCTACTGCCACTCATTCTCCGCGGCCATCTGCTGTGTACTCATTGAATGAAGATGGTGGTGGTGGCAGTCCGCTTCAGAGGTTACAACGCCATGTTACGAAAGTTCTAAAAGGTTTCCAGCATCCTCCTGAAGTGAAGCGAGGAACTTACAATCCTGAAGTTTTGACTAGCCAGAAGCGGCAATGGGCAAACTTTCAGTTGCAGTATTTGGTATGCAGTTTCGTATAGTGACCCATTTGTTTCCATGCAACTTATTTGTATGCATTTCAGCATTTGGTTAATCAAGAATCAAGATAAATAATTTTACATCGTACATTCCAAATTACTTCCATTTTTTTAGATTAAACGGTTCAAGGAAAAATTACTTCATCTCTAAAACAAGTTCTGTGTGTTAGTTTCAAAATACATTCGCATATAGAAGCAAAAATTTTGTCCCAAGAGATTCCGTAACACCTCTGTATTTCAAGTGTGCAGGATCATAAGTCTTTAAAGCAGCCAACAAGGCTTTTTGAGAGCATGGTAGTTGTGGGGCTTCATCCTAACTGTGATATTCAGGCACTTCAAGGGCAATACATTGGAAGAAAGTCTGAAGGTTCAGGGAGATTTAGTAGTCAGAATCACTCTCGTATAGAACCTAATATCGAACCGCAGGTGGGGATTTTGTTGCCAAATGGCCAATTTATTTGCATAGTGATATGCTTGGAAGTAATTTGAGTGCTAGGTATTAACATGTGTTTCTACTTCCAGGTGTTATTTGTTTATCCTCCGGAAAAGCAGCTGCCTCTACAATACAAGGATCTGCTTTCATTTTGCTTTCCCAGAGGCGTAGAGGTTAGGTTTTATCTTGACAGATGTTTTGCCATCCTGTTGACACCTCGGATGTGAATGACACCGTGGAAATAATCATTTTCTAATATTGACACCTCGTATGTGAATGAATTCAGGTTCATGCTGTTGAGAGAACTCCTTCAATGAGTGAGTTGAATGAAATTCTTCTGGGGCAGGTATTTTGCAACATTCTGCTCTCATAGTATAATTGCTAATTAATACTTAGGCCACTTTCTTCCTTCATCTGTTTTCTACCTTTTCCCCTTAGAGAATCATATATAAAAGGTTTTAGCGTAGGATAATGTTTTTTCCTATCCAAGCTCTACCGGATATAGAACCCCTATTCTTCATATTTCCACTAGAAAATGAGATTAAACGGAAAGTTTGTGTGTTGAGTTTACTAAGGTTTTAGGATGGTTGTATAGCAACTCTTCTTTCCATGGGACTTTAAACCATTATGTTATGATAAGATAATTGATAAAGCTGTAGCAGAATGATATAACAATATCATGCAGAAGTTTTCCACTTCTAATAAAAAGCATTAGGCAAAACTTGTTTTATTTACTTGTATTGACCATGGTGATGCTTATTTTCAGGAGCATTTTAAACGGAGCGATCTGTCATTTGTATTCAGACTACAGGTAAATTATAACCTGTTATGCATCCGCGACTCCTTTGTTCTTGATTTTCCTCAATTCGTTATAAAATTTATCTATTTTGCTGCATTTGGGGTTTAGGTGGTGCTGTGTGATAGAACCATTAGTGGTGTTGCTTGAAATTTATCATTGAAACAACATTGTTTCGGTCGTAATTCAGACAACTGGTTACTTAGAGTTGTATTAGTGCCCACAGAGAAGAAGATTGCTGAGAAATCGCAAAGCATAGTTACTCGGATTGAATTTTTTTTCTTTAATTTTGATTAGATTTATATATGTTTAAGTGGATATTATGGATTGCCAGTTACAGTTAACATACATTATTTAAGAAGATAATCCCCTTTCTACTATATTCTTTATATTGATTTAATTTGTTTTTGTGACATGAAATTATTCTTCGTGCTCAAACCTAAACAATTTAATTTTGTTTTAATGTGAATTATTTCTTCATTTCCTGGATGACCTATTTTGTACAATACTTGGTTTGAAGGTTGCCGATGATTCAACTTTGTATGGGTGCTGTGTGTTAGTGGAAGAAGTAGTGCAAAAACCCTCTGGATTGCTTTCCATGATTGCAGAGAAACATCCTTCTCGCCCGTCTTTGAGCCGTCATATATTAACCACTCAGAGATGTTATTGCATTCTCTCAAGGGTTCCAGCATTTGAGTTACATTTTGGTGTATTGAATAGGTGTGTTGTTGTTGTATTGGATGCTCGTACTTACGTGTGCATAATATAAATGCGTGTTTCCTGCTATCTATTTATGCATTAGATGGAAGGTCGTGCTATAACTAATCTAAAAACAAATGAGAGATTCAATTCTTAGTTCATTGAGGAAAAAATTATGGTAGCTTTCTCAGTATAAGGTAGAGCCGATGTGACTTCTAAACAACACATAAAAGCTTTTTAACTGTCAGCTAAAGGACTCTTGAAACTAAGATTTAGGTTTTTTGAGTAACTGGCACATAGTTGTGTGCAGGAATACATATGCTCTTTTGGTCTTTGATAGGTCCTATGATTGGACAATCATCTTTACCGTTTGACAATGTTATTCAACTTGACTGTGTTTGCTATTTTCGTGTAGCATCTTCACAGAGGAAAGGTTGGAGCGATTAACCCAAGGAATAGATCTTTTAGATTTAGAAAGCCCAAAGGATTGTGACAATGGTGAAATTTTCGAAGATACTACAGAAGAAACTTCAAATGGTGTATCACTAAGTAGTAGAATTGAGGAGGACTTGCTGAATGGAACAGCGGAGTTTTCTCAATCAGGGAGATTTGCAGATAATGGGAGTCACCTAGACAATCAAATGGTTGATGGGGATTTTAACTTGCCAACGGGAAGGGTTAGTGAAGATGTTCCAGTTGATCCTGAAACCAAGATGGTTAGTTGCAAAAGAGAATCTGGTGGTGTAAATGCTGAAGTTTGTGAGGTCTATGTTGATGACTTCTCTACAAACAAGCAAGCTGTAGAAAGGCGATTACCAAATGCTGTCCTACCTCTCCTGCGCTTCTATCAGTATGAAAGCTCTGATTCTTCCTCCAGGTAGCAGTTGTACTTTTTTCTATGAAGTTTTGGGGGGTGGTGGTTGGTAATTATCAAGGATATGGGCTACTTAAATGTCTAAGTTTCTGTACTTAATATTTGGAAGTGTTTTATGCAGTTTTCAAGGCTCTCCTAGTGAGGACAGAAATTTTAGGAGCGATGTTGTTGATTTTACAGAAACGGACGAGGCATCTTTCTCTGGCCAAGATGATTCTGACCTCATTGATATTCTTGAATGGGCCAAGGTGCAAAAAGGACTTTTTTCTTGGATCTAGATATGAACTGAAGCTCTTTTTTAATGAGAATCTAGAGCCCAATGTCTCTTGACAAAATTATCCCAATTTTTCAGGCGAACAATCATGGATCATTGCAGATAATAAGTGAGTACTACCAATTACGTTGCCCTGCTAGAGGTATCACTGTTAAGTTTCATCCTTTGGACCACCTGCATCCCTTGGAATATCATAGACCAAAAGCAAATGTTTTACGTACTGCTGGCTCAACCATTGATCTGGGTTCATGCAGTACGAGTCTGGAATTCGCTGAGGTAGAGACTTATGATAGCTTTATGAACTTATCTCATGTGCGGTGGATTTGGTTGATCTTTTCCCTTAATAATGTTCGTGTTCATTTGAATTGTATTTCTGTTGGTTGTTATCAGGCACAAAGTGCTTTCTTGGTAGAGGAGGAAGCAACTGCATTATCAGTATGGGCTATTGCATGCATATGTGGCTCCTTACGACTTGAAAATGTAAGTGAATGGCTCAACATAAGTATGCTGTATTGATTACCTTTGTATGAATGAGTGCCGATTTGGGTTACTTCTCTTAGAGGCCTGCTTCATGGCTGACGTTGCATTTGATTCTCCTCCATACTTTGCAGGTATTAGCATTATTTGCAGGAGCACTGTTGGAGAAGCAGATTGTAATCATTTGTTCCAATTTGGTATGTATTATACATTATTCCAAGTTTATATAGGTCTTGTGAAGATTAACAATCCGATTTATGTATTCTTTTTACACCTGTGTTTTCTGATGTGTACAGGGGATCTTATCGGCCTCAGTGTTATCAATTATCCCTCTGATCCGCCCCTACCAGTGGCAAAGCCTTCTAATGCCGGTATACTTCCCTTACTGCCTACATGTTATTTTTTAAATATTTATACTTCCCTTACTGCCTACAAGTTATTTTTTAAATATATTAAATGCATTGCTGTTTTCATGTGAATGACAATGTGCATAAACTTTCCAGGTTTTACCAAATGACATGCTGGACTTTTTAGACGCACCCGTCCCTTACATAGTGAGTTCTCAAGTTTTTGGTTTATCTGGATCCAGCATTTTCTCAAATTATTATTTGAAAGGAAAACCTCTGTCTGTTTATCTTCTCCAAGTAATATTACAAATATAAAACATTAGTGCCCCTTCCCCATCCAACAAAGACTCCGAATACACAGATCACTTTTTAAACCCTTTGCACTAAGCCATCTTTTTCCTTTTTCTAGTCAGCCTTAGTGTCGTATCTGACATTTGATTGGTTATTTATTAAACAAATTTTTCTTCTGTAGGTTGGTGTGAAGAACAAAACAGATGAAGTACAGTCGAAACTTTCCAATACAATTGTAGTTGATGCCAACAAGAACCAGGTTTGTTGTTTTCAAGCAGTTTATTTTTGTACTCGTGGAACATGCATAAAAGGCTCATATAAGTCGTACCTAAAATTCAATCGTATAGTCATTATTCATTGCAATGGTCTCAAGTATATGGTTTTCTCACCATAAAAGAATATTAGCTTATCATCTTTTGAGATAATAATGTTTCAGTGCCAGACAATTCGTTCTAAGAATAATTTTGTGGGTTCAGGGCATGGACAAATCTGCAATTTGGCCTTGGGTTGACAAATAATGTGTGATATTCTTGCCCATAAAAATGAAACCAAAAGTCTTTAATTGACGCATCATGTGTTTAGCATTTTCTCATGCTTATTTTAGTCAATTGTCGTGTATTATCTGGTTTCTCGTGTATGATTAATGACTAATGTTCATTAAAATGCAAGTATTCTTATAGAAAAAATTAAATGCTTCCATTGCATGATATAATAGGTGAAGTCGCCGACAATACCTCATTTACCACAACATAAGGAATTATTTTCATCCTTAAGTCCTTATCACGCAAAGCTTGTGGGAGAGAGTTTTTTGGGTAGGAAAAGGCCGGTGTACGAGTGCACAGAAGAACAGGTGTGTTATGCTTTGTTCTAGTTCGTTGGATTCCAAAAAATTTACTCTTCTACCTTTAATTTTCATGTATTTATTTGCTGCTTGTAGGTTGAAGCTGCCAAGGGTTTCCTAGGAGTGTTAAGAACTTACTTGGATTCTCTTTGCTCTAATCTCCGTTCACATACAATTACTAACGTACAGTCCAATGATGATAAGGTCAGTTTGTTGTCCAATAATGACAGCTTTTAAGGGACTCAAGTGCCTTAGAGGATTATTATGTTTCTTTGACCTTCTTTTGTAATGATTGGTACTTTAAAAGACAATCTGTCCACAATTTTATATATGTATATATATATATATATATATGCATGCATGGACTAAGTTATGTCTCAGATATATGGAATGTCAGCGTAAATGTAATGCATCATTATATCCATTCATTTGGCTCTGAAGTTTTTATGAGAATAGTGCAGATAATCGTTTGTTTGAATGTGAAAATTCCTAGCTTGTAGATCTAGTGAACATTCATATGTGGATGCACGTTCATAGTGCTACAGATCTGACATTGATTTCCCTCGAATTAGGTATCGTTACTTCTGAAGGAGAGTTTCATCATCGACTCATTTCCTAGTCGCGATCGACCATTTATGAAGGTGCGTTCTTTGAGATAGTTTTCTTTTGTCTATGAGAGTAATAAAATTGTCAAAGAAAACATAAATCTAAGCTCTGAAAGAGGCGTAACTTGGGTCAAGAATGGATAATGTTCGTTTCGGTATTCCGTGTTTGTATGTTGTAATCAATTTATGCAAGATAAATATTAACCACCTTTTTGCTTTATTTCTGAAAGTGACTTGTAATCTTGCTTCAATGCTTACTCTGGGTGCGCTTTGAGTTGTATCGTATAAAGCTGAAGGCACACTGATGCATCATTTTCCTCCCTAAATGCTATGCAGCTTTTTGTGGACACACAAATGTTTTCTGTACATACGGATCTCGTTCTCTCCTTCTTCCAGAAGGAATAGTGCCGCTGCCATGCAAGGTCAGGCCTTGTGTTATATTTTCGTGTTGTAAACCTGAACGCAAGTTCAGTAGTGTTACATCATAAGTTCCATCATTCATGAATTCAATCTTTGTTTCTTGAGATCATGCTTCGCATCTCCGAATGAAAAGATTGTCCGCTTTGCTGCATATTGTACCATGATGAATCTGTATTTTAACATATGAGAGACCTCAAAAGAATTATCCCGCTTTAATTGTAAATAGTAATTTTGTCTATTTATTTACTGCCACCAGTAGCGAGATTTTCCGTTGGCTTATTTGTTTGATAAGTAAGACATGGTCGATTCATCTGCCAAAAGACACCATGTTTGGGTATATGTCAATTAGTATGCCTAACCAAACCATGTTTGGTCCTGCACTTCGAGATTTTGGAATGGCTGAAAGTGCTTTTGACGCTTTCGGATAATCCAAAAGCATTTGAACTTGGTAAATTTTGTTGTGCTTCTGTGAAAGGAATTCTAGCAGATGCACTTACGAACAGAAATACTTTCTACGTAAGATTGGAATTTGTAATATTTTGTTTTGTTGTGCTTTAAATTGAAATATTTTTTAGCGGATGCGGTTACGAGCAAAAGTACTTGTTTGCTCACTAACTTCTGAATGCAGTATAATTGTGGTCTGCCCACCAGTGCATAGGGACATTTTAAGGGATGTCTTGGCTCAAGTGGGATCTTTGTACAGAAAAAATGCATGTGTTGGCCCGCCATGTGAGGTAGCAACAGTGCCAGACAGTGCAGGGTACTGCATTGTGCTACTTCCAAACGTACAACAGAAAAATAGTTCCAAGAGAATTGAATGGAACCAAACTATAGCAAACTCTCTTTAATACATTGGCTTTTTTTTTTTTTTTTTTTAACTCTAACTTTTAACCCCAAGCTTGGGGACTTAATACTCGGGATGTCAGTGTGGCGTTGTCTGAAAATGTTAACGACTATCATGTGAAATAGATATGCTCGTAACAATGCGTCATTGACTTAAGATATTGCGACTTGAAAATCACAAGAGTAGGTAAGTCCATCTTCTTAGCATGCTCACTTGATAACTACTATTTTTGAAACAAGATTTGTTTCAAGAGATATGATTTCTGCCCTTGTTTTTTTCCTTCTGCACTCCTCTGTTTTAGCTGTTAGGCCATCTTCATTCGAGAGCTATATACCACATTTTGCCCGAATTTATATGTAACATGTCTCCAGCCAAGGGGCAAAAGCCAATTTGGAAAGATTTAGCAGTGCAAAGTTCGAGATTGAAAAATTCATTCTTACAAATATTCTTTAAAATAACAATTTTTAAGAAGCTAAAATATATGGAAAAGCTACGTTTAGGACTTCATAACTGGACATGGCCTTAGATCGAATAAAATTGAGGGAAGGAAAACAACATAAACTAAGGAGACGTACGGAAGGTAAAAAAATAGGAGTTTGAAAATCATTTCCTTTTGTTTCAAAACTCAATATATGGTTTTGAGATGTTATTTATATTAGCAACCCATAAAATGTTGAAGCACCCTATATTAAAATTTAATATTAAATGACTTATTTACCCTACAATGTAATGACAATTTTGACCTTATTAGGTTAAAAAAAAATTATATATACCCCAAATCACTGTTAACGTATTATTTATCTTCTTCAACTATCAAAACCCCTCCGACCCTCCATTATTGAATAAAACCCTAACCAATGAAACTACAAACATGTTGATTGAGAAAATTTATTTTTGACGAATGAAACATGAAATCGATGTTTCATAAACTTCACATGAGGTAAGACTTCATATTTTTTATTGTTTTAGTGATTTTGACGACATTGATAATTATTTAATTTTGCTTTTGATGTGTTTTTCAAGCTTCTATATTCGTATTCATCTTTTAGGGATTACATGGATTATTAAACACTAAAAATAACCACCAAATATTAAAACCAGACAACATGGATTTAATGGTGGAATTGAAAACAACCAACATATGCCTTAAATCTCAGGCGGCATCTTTTGTCAAAATTCCAATCGGCATTTTTTTGGCCAAATTAAAAGCTTTATAAGATTTGAGAAATATGGGGTGCACATAAAATATGGGGTGCATGTAGAAAATGTAAGGTGTATATTAAGAATGTGGGGTGTGAGGGTATTACGGGGAAGTAATGTGGAGTGTATTAAGATAATTTTTAATTGAAAAAGCAAATATGAGATGTATTAAGTATGTAAGGTTTATTCAACAATTTGTGGGATGTTAATATAATAAAGCCTTTTGAAACCCCAAGTAAAACTATAACAAATAACTATAAGAACAAAAAAGGAAAGACTTTCACTAATTTGTTTACAAACTTTGGGTCTGTGGGTGATGTTATCTAAATCAGAGAACCGTCGTCTACTGTTGAAATTTCATCATCTAGTAACTTGCATGCTCTACGGTTACCTTGGGTTGGAGATATTTTTCAATGTGTTGGAAATACGATTCTAATACATTAAGTATCATAATACAAGTAGTTGATACTTAAAAAAAAAAAATTCAACCACTTACAACAACGTTTGGTTTGCCGGACCGTATTGCGGCACATTGAAAAAACTCTCCATGAGTTGGACGGTACCTTATATGGAGGGACCAATTCGGAGTTCAGATTTATTTTTTAGAAAAATGAGTTTCATTTCATATTTTCTTGCTAAAATAAAATAATATACATATGTTCATACTTAACCTGTATACAATGTCCTCCTGCTACCCCATTTATTGAAAACTTAATATTTCAGCCAGAAAAAAAAAATTCAAGCAAAGAGTTTCTTATAATTTATTGTTTTAAAAAATAATTGTAGTTATTTCCGTAAGAAATTAATCCAATGAGAAACCACAAAACAACAACAAAACTTTTCATTTGAATTAGTAATAGTGATACTTAACCATATTAAGGAAAGTGATTCCCGAACATCATTTTCTTCTCTCATTTATATTCCTATTTATTTTCAGCTTTGAATTTAATAAATTAAACGAGAATAAACTGAGATTAAAAACAAAGGCAAATGTGCAAATGAACAAAGGAGTGTGAATCATTTTGGAAAATTAATGATGTTAGCACTCTCTCTTTAGCATGGTGCACTTCTGTGAGGTGCTACAGATATTGAAAAATAATCAACTTAAGTGCATATGGTTTCAAGAAGAGGGTCAAAACCGCTACGCGTGTTGGAGATGACAAATCAACTCATTAAATTTATAACAAGTTACTATTAACACCTGTTTAATTTGATTAAAAGAAGAGCGTCGAACCGCTCTGGTCATAAAGATCAAATCAAGGATTATGGTCTGCACGCTTAGGCAGAAAAAAAGTTGAATGAAGAAGAAGACAAGCCAACGAACAGTGTAAAATCTGAACATTTTAAGCAAAGCAAAAGCGATGAAACCATAAAAATATCACAATAAAGTTCAAGAAAAAGATAAAGAAAAAAGGAAAGATGGAGGGGGTAGGAAGTAAAGTGAGGGTGAGTTGCTGGTGTATTTGATCAGAGAAAGCAGAAGCCAAAAGCGGACCTGCTGCTCTGAAAGCTGAATCACTGAGGTTTTTCTAAATTTCCGAAAGAGAAAAAGGCCAGATTGTAAGTGGGGTCTCTGACCCTTCTGAGGTAAAGGAACAGAAAAGAAAAGAACAGTAAAAAGAGTTAGTAGCTGAGTAAAACCCCCAACACCGTACAATCACTGCTCAGACCTACCCAGACGCACACACCAACTCTATAGTGTCTCTCTCTCTAGACATAATAATATTAAGGAAAGTACTCGACTTCTTGTACAGTAAGCATTCTTGGGTTTTTGCAAATCACAGTTTGATGTGTGTTGAGATTTTTTCTCTGTGTTTGTAGTGAATTATTTTTGGCATGTGTAAATTGCAATATACATAAATGAAGTTCGTTTCTACGCGGAATGGTTGATTATCTTTGTAGTTATAGTATTTTTTTTTAACTTATTGTGTTTTGAATTCAAATATTATTACATCTTCTTAATATAAATTAACGTAGAATATCGTTTGTATAATAAGAATTGATTCGTTTCTCAGTAAATCAATCAATATATCAATAAATAAGAAACATTATTTCCCTTTCACTTGTTTTCTCCGTTGCTACTTACTAATTTTTGCTTTTGAACTGAATAAGTAAAAAACACTCAGAGAAACAAAAATAACCAGAGGTGTAAAAAAGGAAAATAAGTTGTGAAAAACATCATTTCTACTAATGATAATGAATTTTTCCCTTCATTTTTATTTATTTAAAGTCTTCACAATTGATTTGTTTATATATTCACTTGGCTTTATGGATTTCTGTAGAGTTGTCAGAGACAAGAGCTGACACAGAGGCAGCAGCTTAGCTGAAGAGTCAGAAGCAACAGAGGTGCAGTCATAAAATTTGCAGAGTTAGAGAGAGAGTTTGGAGAGAGAGGTGGCAAGTGGCAATGGCAATGGCATGCAGCAGAGGCAGCGGCAGCACTGTAATCAGAACCATTAGTTTTATCCATGTACAGAAAATTCTGCAGCTCTATGGTCCCTGAAAATAAATATACCTATCACCTACTCTACTCTCTCTCTTTCTCTCTCTCTCTCTAACCCTTCTCTCTTTTGTTTCCGCACTCTAAAATCGGAAACAAACCAGTCTCTGGTTTCATCTTTTCTTTCTCTCTTCGTCTTTGGTTTCTTTGAAAAACCAAGCTCCTTTTGATTTGGGAAATAATTAAAAAAAATATGAATAGCACTGGAAGAAACAGCCGGTTTCCTTTCACTCCAACTCAGTGGCAAGAGCTTGAGCACCAAGCTCTTATCTACAAGTACATGGTTTCTGGAATCTCCATCCCTCCTGATCTCCTCTTCTCCCTCAAAAGAAGCACCTACAACTTGGACTCCCCTCTCCCTCCAAAGCTCTTCTCTCACCACCCTCCTCACAGTAAGCTCCTCTCTCTCTCTCTAAAATGAAGGGAACTTTATACTTTTGACTGCATATTATTTCTGGGTTTTGTAAAAGAAATGGAACTTTGAAATTTTGAGTGCATAATATTTCTGGGTTTTGTAAGAAAAATGGAACTTCGAAGTTTTGATTGGATAATATTTCCGGGATTTGTGAAAAGAATGGAACTTCGAAGTTTTGTGAAGTTGAGTGCATAATATTTGTAGGTTTTCTGAAAAGAATTGAACTCTGAAGTTTTGAGCGGATAATAATTTTGGGTTTTTGTGGTATTTTCTTGCAGTTGGATGGAACTGTTTCCAGATGGGATTAGGGAGAAAAATAGACCCAGAGCCAGGAAGGTGCAGAAGAACAGACGGGAAAAAATGGAGGTGCTCAAAAGAGGCGTTTCCGGATTCGAAATACTGCGAGAAGCACATGCACAGAGGGAAAAACCGTTCAAGAAAGCCTGTGGAAGTTCTGAAAACATCTCAAATTTCAACAACAAACTCATCAGACACTTCAACAATTACCACCAGAATCAACACTTCTTCTGCTTCTCCAAGTCCTGCAGCTTTTCATTCCCTTTCATCATCACTCTCTTCTCTCTCCTCTGATTCCCACGCTTACCCTTTCCTCTATCATCATAACTCACCTTCTCCAAGGCCTACTGGAATCGGATTCCCACATCAAGAGAGAAGCACTACTTCCTTGTTTTTGGACTCTGGTTCTTATCCCCAACCCAGCTCAGATTACAGGTTTGTCCCAAAAACAAAATTATGGTACTTATTTTTCTGTATCTGTTTAAGCATTTTAGGCCAGTTGGTAAGGGCGGTGTGTTTGTCCTCACTGTTTGCCCGTCCTTTAGGCCGGTTGGCTAGAGTAACGTGCGCGACTTAGGTTTAAGTCAGTTGGTCACGTCAGTGTGTACGTCTTTATTTATTGCTCGTGGGTTTAGGCCAGTTGATCAGAGCAATGTGACCGTCCTTGAGTTTATGCCGGTTTTTGGGGTTACATTGGTTGGTCACAGCAATGTGTTTGGTCTTGACTCTTGAGCTTGTTTGCCCTCTTTGTAAATTAGAGTAGTTAAAATATCGTCAGGTCAAGAAAAACTTACTGATGGTAGTTGTGATTTTTTTTTTTTGTTACGGATCGAGAAGAAACAGGTATGCTTATGGGATGAAAGAGGAGGTGGATGAACATGCATTCTTCTCAGAGCCTTCAGGCACAGTGAGAGGCTTCTCTGGCTCTTCATCCATGGACGATTCCTGGCAGTTCACACCGCTCACAATTAGTACTTCTTCGTCTTCGAAACAGAGAAGCTGCTCTGCTTTTCAAAGTGATCAGCAGCTTCAGAGCATCAAACATCAAAAGCAAGATCATCATCAGCAGCAGCAGCATTACTATGCTTTGGACAGAAACGAAGGATCCCAGAAGACCATTCATCGATTCTTCGACGAATGGCCCCCGAAAGATAAAGATTCATGGCTCGATTTGGATGATAAATCATCAAACAGCGGATCGGTTTCTACAACCAGGCTCTCAATCTCCATCCCTACTTCTGCTCATGACTTCCCCATCTTCACCTCAAGACATCATAATAGTAAGCTGACTTCCAAATGCATTTACTTTTGAATTTGTTTATGATATAAGCAATCTTTACTCTAATCCCTTAAATTAACTTAAACTCCGCAAGAAGATTCGAACTCGGGTGCATCTGCTTTAGCTTATGTGGCTACGCTCACGTCGGTTAATTAGCCAATACATTGTTCATGATTATTCAGATCCAGTTGAGATCTTTGTCTAATTATTTCCATTTGTTTTTTCGCAGATGACTGAGTTTTCCAGTACTGGTTTTCTGAACCAAAGGCCAAAAATGTACTTGGTGTCACTATTTTATTTTATTTTTTATATTTTATTTAATCATGTCTGAATGTGGTTGAATCAGATAATTGTGTTTTAAATGAAGGATCCTAAGTGTCTCTCTGGCAAACTTGTGTTTTAAATGGGTCTGCCAAATATCTGGTTTCTTTGTTTTTTGGGTACATTTTTTTTTTGATGTTTTGTGTTGTTTCACTCTCGATTGAACATCATCAACCCAATTGGGCATCGTCATCGTGATTGGGGCATTGTCATCTCAATTGGGCACGTCGATCTCAATTGGGGCTCATCGATCTCTCGGCTTCTTGTCTGGATCGGTGACAGCTTGAGAGGAACATGTGTTATCGGCATCAGCTAAGTGTCGTTGGACATTTTATCCTTATATTAATGAGTTTAACAAAATTGTTTTTGGTTAATTTTGCTAATAATCTTCACCACAAGAAAAATCTAAAGTGTCGTTGGACATTGTTTCCTTATACTTAACTGAGTTTAAAAAATTTTTTTTAGGTATTTTGCTAATAACTTCACCACAAGGAATTAAATCCTAATTTTTTTACCACATGGTAACCTCGATACCCTATCACCACAGGAACTATAATCTGATTTGGCCAAAAATTTATTGTATCAAACAGGGTACATTCTCAAATCACAAAAAAAGAATTAGCTTAATACATAGTAATTTCTTCAATAACTTGACATGATACATTCTAAAATCAAAGAAAAAAGAATTACCCATATAAGTTTAAAAATGGATTAGAAAAAAATTGAATAGATTTTTATATATAAAAAGGGTACATTTTAATATAAACAAATTGTATATTTAAGAATAGTACATTATAAGATTAAAAGTTTTACATGAAGGGTACATATAATAGCATGGGTACATTAGCAAATAAAAAGTCAAAATAAAAAAGGGTCAAATACAAAAATTTTAAAAAATATGGCACAAAAAGAAATTAAATATGGGTACAAATTAAACGAAAGAAAAATCGATACAGTTAAAAAGAATTACAAATAAAATGGGTACAATAAAACTAAAAATATGTAAAAAATTTAGTCATAAATAAAATCTAAAATTGTAACATTTAAACATTAAATGAAATATTTAAAATAAAAAATTATTATTGAAATAATATGATGTTATTAATACCAGGACCTTGATAAAACTTGAAACTGAAACTTGACCTCATTGAAAATTTGATCAACAATTTCCTTGAAAAAGAGGTACGAAGAAAAAAGTTTCAACATACAAATAGGACAGTAATGTCATAGAGACACCGGCAAATCATTTCAATTCACCGAAGCTTTGGCATTCCTATACTCGGCTAGGTGCTCATCATCCTTCATGGCCTGAATTGGAAGTACCACACAAATCTATCAGTAAGAGCACATATCAATCATCTTAAAACATGAAACACATTTGTTCTCACCAGACACTCTTCTATTGCATCTTTGATGCTCCGTCACCAATTCAGAGACTTTATGCATTGTGAAAATAAAAAAGAAAAGAAATCACATCTATCTAAGGAGAAATCATTTGGCAACGGAAAGGAAAATATTTTCACGACTACTTCTGCTCTAGTTCCATTAGCAGCCTCAGTTATTCAGTGCGTACAGGTTGTGGTTACCAGAAGCGTTACCTAGGGGAAAATCAGAGATCAGAGGATGTCAGCTGAGGCAACAGAGACAAGAGTATATTATGTAACAGGGAGAGAAGACAAGGTTCCATTTAACAACAGCTGAAGCTGATAAAACTAAAATGCACCGATTGGAAAAACTTAAAGTTATCTGTGTAGGTCAGTAAAGTTTTTGGCAGCGACACTATGACGTGTCTTCACATTATCTTGAGTACTATGAAGTGAAAGTTAAAATACCATTCAGACACAAGAAAACCAGCTTATTTCCCAACTGAACAAATATCCAAAGTTGACCTTGTCGCAAGAGTGAATCAATTCGTACCTTTATAATCTCACCTTCACAATACCATCAAACACTGCCCTAAAAAGGGGAAAAAGAAGAAAGAGAAGAGATAATAATAACCACTGGAAAGGATTATCAGTATGGACGAAATGGATAAAGCTTTAAGAACATACGCAGCAGCTCTTTCTGCAACGCACTGCTTCAAACTTACTACATTTTGAGCTTGCTTACTGTCTCATACAGATTTTGCATACTGAAACTCCTGCCTGCATCAAAAGTGCAGACATAACAGTAATCAACTATTTAATCAAGGTTTCTATTTTAGGAATGCTGGACTAGCTCCACGTGGACTAAGACAGACTCGGGATACTGTAACAGAAAACAACATAGGATCATAGTCACAATTATGCTAGAAACAACATAAAGTCATTATCAGCATATGTTCTAGTAAACCAAAAGGCCAGTTATGATCGACCTCAAGCTTGCAATGTCGCCATTACACAAGACAAATAAACGATGATAACACTATCACTATAGCAACCTTATAGTTCGACTATAATTATAACTAGGCAACCCCATTTGACGTCCATACCACTGCCCTTTATCCTAAACAAATCCTGCTACCAATTGCGTGATGCAAGATATAGTGATCCATAATAAAACATAGCTGGACCATGTTCGACCAAAGTACAGTTGACAGCCTAATGTCAAAATCTGTGAGCCTCGGGCTGCATAAAGCTACTTAGCTTACAATTGGAAGGGCTACGAAACCCTGCAACCTAATACTGCATCAATCATATAAATTTGATCTGGTGTCCCCACATGAAGCATATAAAAGTTAAAATCAACCATCCCCTTTCATTTTAATAGAGTTTGTATTGACTTGACACACTCAACAGAGGAATACAAGGGGCAAGAAATAAAATTTCTGAGAAGGATTAACGGGTTACAGCAATGCAGCAGATGGCAATTCCAATGGTCAATACAAAGTTGGGTCCACCCAAGACAAGTTCCAGAAAAATGGGAAAACAAACTACAAGAGGGAAAATGCTAAACCTTTGAAGCTGCATCATCACCCCTTTCATTGTTACCCTTTTTCCCTCCTCCAAATAAGCCATACACACGGGACGAACGGGGTGTCCTCCCAGTCTTAATACCAGGCCAAGAAACAATTGAAGGACAGGCTGGACGTGAGTTTTACTCCTTCACCTATAATCAGAATAAAGCAGTAAGTTTGATTTGTCATCAGAAATTACACGATAACCCCGTCTCACAGCGGAATAGGCAAAACATTTTTGCACAACAAAACAATGATTAACAGATTGAGCATAAATTTCGAAAAAGCGCAAACATTTACGCTCACAACAAATTTTCAATGCCCACAATTTAGTTTGACATCCTAAACAATCTCGCTCAGCAAAGTGGCATCAAATTTCAATGCCCAGAATTCAAATACAATGGTCCAACATTTCCAACAGTAATTTCTTACACTGCCAAAGCCATGCTTTTTCCTCAAGTGTATGATAAAAAGGGGTTAAAATTGGTACAAAAAGAAACCCAATTTCTGTTCTATCTTCTTTCGAAAACCCCATAATTTCTATGCAATTCGAGAAATGTTTTTGCATACAAAATTGTGCGGAATACTACTGGTATTGAGCCAATACGTTTCGAGAGAGCTTACGGAAAGTGAGGTGGTCCTGGGATTCGGTGAGGAGGTGGAAGTTGGAAAGCCGGGAGCTTAAAGCACTGGTCGACGACATGACGGACACAGAGAGGGAGGAAGGAGAGGCGAAATAGCGGTGCAATTCAATGCCTCTCTCTCTCGCTGTCTCTGGTTTTTGGATA